TTCGTCTTAAAATCGATCATAAAGTCAGTTTTCATAATAGTTTTCGTAATCGTAATATATCGAATGAGTATCAGTTTACCTTGTTGAAGTTGTTGGAGTTGGTACTTCAAATACTTGATAACGTCTTCTTTCACTTTTCTGATATTTTAGGCCAACTGTCAGTCATTATTCAAGAATGCGAAGTGCTACTTCTGGAGCAGTGATAATGCGACTGGCTTGATGTTTTTTGATTTCTTTGTTGTGAAGCGTTATATTTGTTTACTCGACATTGTTCCACAACAATGCCGTGTAAACAAATATTTGTTGACATTGTTTATGACGTCATTTTTTGACGACAAATTGGTTGAAGACAACGAGGAATCACAAATTTTTATAGTATAAGATACCCGGTTCCACATTTACATTACCTTATTCTACAGCTTTGTCAGCCATTAGTATTAATTATCTGCTCTCTCTCAACGATCTGTGTTAAAGCCTTTATTATTCGGTATTTTATCAGTGGCTTGTGTAACCGTCGGTAAAACTATTGAAGACAGGGTTTTGTTTACAGATAGATTCAGTTTGATGTAGGCCTAAATTTTTATAGACCAGAGACAATTGAAACTGCAGACACTTTCAGATTATAAGACTACAAGATGGTGGTAGAGTGAAATCTGTATCCAACTTTCCATGTAAGAAGGATAACTGATAGACAATTGGAGCTAGGCATATGAAAATTTATTTGGACATTGATAATACAAGTTGCAGAAGTGCGTCCGGTTTGTTACAATTCGAGAACCGTTGCGAAGATTTAACATTGAAGGTTTACGTACGAAGATGGCTGTGATCGGGGTTGTTACGCTTTGTAGTCCGGTAGAAGTTTACTGACTTTCAGATATAGCAAGCGCTTCTGAAACGCCAGTAAAATTATAGCAGACTACACGGCGCAACAACTCAGAAGACAGCCATCTTCGAGAAATATTTGGAACAAAAGTGGTAGAGAAATATATAACACACATTCATGACCAGTTGACCACAGATTTGCTGTAAACCTCGCTGTTTTGTAGGTAATTAAACATAATGGAGCTTCAGTAAAAAGTTTGGCAATTACGAATTTGAAATCGAAAGGCAATAAATGAATGCACGTGTCAGAACTGTTATGCTGTGCTTACTTCTCCTGACTTCTAATGCCCTATTTCTTGCTAGCTGCACCGTGTAGGCTGAATCATTCGAAGAAAAGTGGCCAGAACCTGTTTATTTTTACATTGTCAATGTTTTCATCATGTCAGTATCCACATAAATAGGACCTGACATTAATTTTAACCATTGTATATGCTGTAGATGACTTCACATTGGCCATCTGCCCAGGAATTGGTAACACCTCAGAAAGTGTGTACATCCGAACGTTTGTGCATTATGCACAATGCCATGGTTACCGCTGTGCGGTATTAAATCATGTTGGAGCCCTTGGTAGCGTTAAGGTTACAGCACCCAGGATATTCACATATGGTAAGTTAATGGCATTAGTACCTGATAAAATAATGCTATTTTAAGATTGCTTGGTTGTGAGGGTATTATTTTGTGTTTCTTAATTATTATAAGTGTGGTGATTAGTGTTATTCATCACTTTATTTTCCAGTATTTGGATCTCTTTCTGCATCTCTTGATCATATGCTTTAATTTAGTTTAACTAAATTAACTACAACCTATTTGACAGGTGTATTGATGTCATATATATTCTTTGTTTGTTTGTTTATGCTGTGTTAGGAGAAACTTCTGTAACTTGAGGAGGATATGTTCTGCAATAGGTCTGAGGAACAACACATGTTGGAGTTTGTGTTATTCAATGGGTACATTTGATTTAGAATAATAAGGATTTGTTTTTTGCACAGTGTGTACTGACACATTTTAATATAATGTAACTGTTTTATTCATGATGCTAGTATACTGAGACTATTTTCAGTGTGAGACTGTTTTTGGTGTTATAATTGAGAATCTCCTCAAGATTGAGTAAATGAGATTCTCATGTTATCTAGTAGCTAAGAACCCAACTGAAGTCTGGGGAAGCGTTTTAAATATCCCATTATTTTTCTTGGAGATGCAAGTTTTTCTTGTGAAGGTAGATGATATGGTGTACGACTTGTGTCATACTTTTATTGAAGTTGTTACTAGCAGTAATAGTTCCATCAAGTTGAGTAAATATCTGGAGACAGTTTTTTTTATAGTACTTCTTCGTTTCTCTGAAAACCACTTGTTATAATAAAGTTTACAGAGCCCCCTCTGGTGAATTTAATTTAACACATTTGAGCCGAGGCAACTGACAAATGGTTGTACCGAAGAAAGTTATTCCATTGGCTCAGATTCTGTGTAAAAATGTGTTTGTTTGTGTGTGTTGAAAAGTACTGCAGATAAGTATTTGTATTGATTGATTTTACCATGAAAACAACCTAAAAATGAATTTTACTCATTACTTTTTTAAAATTCATAATTAAGTTGCAAATTTGAAGCGTCATTCTTAGTGTGGTCTTTGGGGTGGGGGGTGGGGGTTGACTGAAACAGTTTTTCTTTCATTACCTAGCATTTTGTATATTGAATAGGGCTGCCCTACAAGGAGATAATACTTTCTGATTCTTTGTCCGAAACTCTTTTATTGCTATTGGTGAGGTCAGAACAGCATGCTGGAATTAGTGAAGTTGGATTCGCATTACTTTTAATTTTGCGCTAAGCAGTAATCTGAAAGTTAGTATCATTGCCTGTATTTATTCCTGGGCAAATATGATTAAAAAGTACTTGGAGTCTAAATGTGCACTGTACTTGATTGTATGAAATTGCCGTGAGAGTTCAGTTCTCCAGCATTATTTCCATACAATGAAACTTATTTATAATGACATCTGATGCAGTCATCTCATTTATCCAAAATGTATATCAGAGTTTTAAATGTTCATTTTCTTTGTCTTTCTCTTTTGCATACTGCACAAAAACCACGCTGATTCCATATTCATTTCATATCTTTATATTTTTGATTTGGTAGGGCTTCCATCAGGATTTTTGATGCAAAAGGGATGTGAGCATTTGGGAAACATTCTAAATTGTAACTAGTGGCAGAGGTAATTTGAATACACATTCTCACTTTGATTATTTAGACTTCGAGAATTCTGTGAAGTATGGAAACAACTTTCAAGTAGAACAGGAGTTTTAAAATAATTGGAAAATTCAAGAAGCTAAACATTGACTATTTTCTATGTTTATTTTGTATCTCCAAGGCAACAGATTAGTCAATATGGGTTACCTAGCAATAGCACACCTTGATCAATAAGAGAGATGTATATTGAACTCATGTACTTGTTTTTCCTTGTAATATATTGTGTGTTGAAGGGCTCTTATGCATAAAATCCTTCACATTAAAATTACTTTACCTTGTTTTTTTTTATAATCTCTCTTATGAGTCTTATGTAATTTGAATGCAGTATGATATTTGTTTAATTTCTTTAGTATCCATATATTTCCTTTAAATTCGATAAACATTATTGGCAGTGTATAAGAACCCATAGCCCATTTGTAGAAAAGTAGATTTAAATTAAATTTTGCTGTAAGAGAATTCATTATTGAAACAAACATGCATTCTTGAGTTTTGGATGGCAAAGAGATCTGTGCGTGGTCAAGGGTTTATTACATTTCTGTGTAATTCAATTTGTAATTTATAAATGTGATAATTCACCTTAACAGAGGTCTCAGAAACAGTATTGTTGGTTTAGGGATTGTGCTTGATTGGTGTTAATGGGTTCAGATTTGTTGAACTTCAGCCCCGAAAAAAAAAATTGAATAATTCCTGCAATGTAAAGGCAGAAATGCATTTAGATAATACAATACCTTTCTTCTTGTTTCCATCTCTTAAAACATTTAGAAATAATGTTTTCCACTAACTCATGGATGATTGATGAGCTTATGTATGAGTTGTGTTCGGGCTGCTGGAGTAATCCTGTTACCTATATAGCACTAGATTATAGAAATGTTGTTTGTTGTAGTTGTTGTTATTGTTGCTGCTGCATATGCTTAAGTTGTATGATTGTCATATTCATTTCCTTGCATTCCAGAAATACTTAGTTCTGAGTGTAAATCAGCATTGATTTTAGGTATGGCTTGACATTGCAGCAGATGATGCTTGTGCGTCATAGAATTTGGATCCTGGCACAGAATGCGATATAATCTGAGGATAAGAAAATAAATAATCTATAGGAATTTGCTTCCAGACAGGCATTAGATTTGTGCTATTAAACCTAAATTCAATAAAAGGCAGAAAATTCCTTGACTAGCTATGCAACTAGTAGTTTTTTAGAAAGAACTCTGCTCCAGTGGTAAACAAAATCTTTTATTCAAGAGAGTGCTTTTTCAGGTGTTCCTTAATTTTAAGAATGCTAATCAGTTTCCAGTCCTGTAGGAAATAATGTTAAGAATATTACTTATTCTACAAATTGCCCTTTTTATTTTGGAGTTACTTATTTTTGATATTAAATAAGAGGTTTTCTTTACTGGAAAATTAAATTTGGATGCCCTTGTTGTATATTTTGTAATATGTTTCATTTACATTTTGTTGCTTTCTATCTGCTCAGAGATATTAAATAAAGCATTATGACCCCTTTCTTTCAATGCTATGAGAATAATCTGTTCCTACATAACTTGACCCAGTTTTCATAATTAGTTAGCCCTTTTTCCCTTGGAAGTAAATATTCTGATGTCTAAGTAATGTATATACTTGTCTTATTTGTTACATAAGTGTTACATAACACATCTCCTATACAAAATGTTGGTTAAGTGTTGAGTGGCTGGAAATATACTACTGATCAATAATTTTTTACCTCTCTTAGGTCATTATTATTGTTTGGCAGCAGAGCTTGTCTTAATTTGCCTCCGTCCACAAATTTTAGTTTGTGTTATTACATTTATTTTACTTCACATGACATTTGTTAATTTTTAATTTCCTTTTAGTAATTAAATATTTTGTGTCCTCATGAATAATTTTTAATTTTGATTGTTGATTGTGGGTGGTTCTGATGCCACTTCATATATGCATATTTAGACATGCTAGCATTATTAGATTTGAGGGCTCTCTCTCTCTTCAGAGTGGATTATCCTACAGAATTGTCTTAAAACCTTGCATACCATGCAGTGTATTGATATATAAAATCATGCAATACAAACAAAACTGTTTACACACTGAAAAGACACTTAGTGCCAAACGTGTTTCGACCTCAAGAGGTCATCATCAGTGGCAAACAAACACACTTTCTAAAACTGACAGTAATACCCACACAACGTTGATGTTCACAGGCACAGACAATGCAACCACGACCAACAACGGAAACCTCAACTTAGGCCAGTGGACATAAAGCTAAGTAACTCAATTTAGATAATACACCAACTCTTGTGCAATTAACCTCCAGTGTGGTATTACATAAAGTATGGTTTTATAAGGTATGACCTTTTATGCTTTATAACAAATCATCATCTTATGAATTGTATGATTTAATATGAATTAATTTGTTTGCCACTGATGATGACCTCTTGAGGTTGAAACGTGTTTGGCACTAAGTGTCTTTTCAAAGTGTAAACAGTTTTGTTTGTATGCATGATTTTATCCACAGAATTGTACATAAGGCCACAAAGACTTTAAAACTTCATCCATATAATGTACATGTCATGCATGAACTTGATAAGGAAAAATGACTTCAGTACTGCAAATGGTTTACACACTTCATTTGATGGGTTATACACTTTTTAGATAAAGTTTTTTAGTGATGAAGCACCTAAGCAAATATATTAATAGCCAAAACAGCATAATATGGATTGCTGAAAATCTTCATACATTCCATGAAAAACCATTACACTCCTTGAAAGTCAGATTATGGTGTGATGTGTCTCAGTGGAGAGCAGAGGATAATTTTGTTCCATTTTCTTCAGTGAAAAAATAACAGCTGAATGTTACCAGAAATGAATTAATTATGAATTTAATTTCCCTTTTTGAAGTTTACAAACAATACTGCTGGCTTTCAGTATGGGGCTGTAGTGTATACAGCAATTTCAATAATGCAGATGTTCAGTGAGTTCTAGGGTGGTTGCATTTTGAATTGGAACCAGATTTCTTGTTTCCCCCCATCCAATCAGTTTTTCCAAAAAATGCTGGAACATGTCTTTATTATAACACACTTCTTTCCCTCTCCTACTCTGTTATCATTCAAAATACTCCTTTCATCTGATTGATAGGATGGCCAAGAGTCATCATACCCCTTGAACAATTTGTCGAGATTATCAAATGTCTATAGATTGTTTAATAAAAGGATTCAATAAGCCAGTTTTTGGGCTATATAAAAGAACATCTACTAAGCAACCATGTAGAATAAGATAATTTTAAAGTTATTTGAATTGTGTGGTTGGGGTATGGTGACTTCTTTTCTGTTCTGTAGAATCATAAAATATCCTACAAAATAGGCTAGTAATGATTTTCCCCTGTGTTATGGGTGTCTGCTGTACTCATAGTAATTAATTTGAAACTAATCTTTTTCATATTTCATATTTATCTCTCATTAGTTTCATAATTACTATTTTTGTCATTCAGTGGTCATACTTATCAAATATGAAAAAAATATTTTATTCATCTTTATATTCAGAGTCAAACTTTTTTTAAATCCTTATGCAGCTGCTTTCTAAAATCTGAGTAAAATGGCAGCTGCATCAAGCACTAAGACCTAAAGGACTGTGGTTTTCAAATAGTGGAACGAAAACTGTCTCTAAGGCAGGAAATAAAATAGTCCAGCACACTATGTTACCATGTTGTGAGAGACATGTAAGTTGTCTTTTTTCTGATGTCAGAAGAGAAGCTTCGTCACCTTGCAGCTTTCTCCTTCTTTGCATCTGCTACTTTGTATTACTTATATCCAAGTCACTTAATTCTATATGTATTCCCAACATTTTTTCTTTTTTTTTAAAAGTTTCTCAAATTTTGTTTTATATATAGATGTATTTGTAAAGACATTTGTAACATTTATATCTTTTATATCATTAGGCTAGTAATATAATTGATGATTTCTGTCTTCTGGGTTGTTGCGCTGTGTAGTCTGGTCGATGTTAACCAACGTTTCAGAGGTCATACTGCCTCTGTCATCAGGGCAGTATGACCTCTGAAACATTGGTGAACATCAACCAGACTACACAGCGCAACAACCCAGAAGACAGAAATCTTCATACTCATCACTGTGAAAACCTCAAATCTTACATTATAATTGATCAAAATAATAAATATATTTTGCCCTCAGATCAAAACATTTTTGTTTATAATTCACAACATAATAATAATTAGTTTAATCAATAGAGTTTGCAGTAATCAGTTCAAGGCATCAAAATGGTTTTCCCTTGTAATTTTTTTCTGCAGCCTTACATGAAATTACATTTAATTGAAGTTGAACTTATTTGTTTGCAGGTCACACGAGTGATTTTAATGAGATGCTGTCTCATATCTTTGAGAAGCACCCAAATACCCGTATTGTGTGCATTGGATTTAGTCTTGGAGGTAATCTAGTAACAAAATACATGGGTGAAACAGACCGGTGCAGATCACCAAATATCATTGGTGGCATATCAATATGTCAAGGCTATTGTGCCATTGAGTAAGTATGATATTGTTATGTTACCCTGCCTTGGTGTCTGCCCTCTGATCCCCTTTCAGAATGTTGCAGCAACTCCTGGAAAATTATGAGTTTTAAAAGATCACATTCTTCTCTAAATTGGTGTAACATTTTCAGCCCTTTGTAATAAGGAATAGAAGTATTTAGGAGTCATAATATGTCTGTATATGAAAATTATTGAAGTGTATGAAAATAGCTGGGGTGGTTAGCGGACAGAAATGGAAACATTCTGTTCATAATTTCACCTTTTAACAAGACATTTTGGAAAGAATTCATGATGCATACATTCCTTCTGTCTGATGGAGCTGGTGGGAATTATAATGCATTAATTATACAATTTAGTTATTATGTGCATAATTTTGACTAGTACACAGATTCCTGCTTCATTGAATTTGTCTGATACAGCTTCAAAGTTTTAGAGTATTACCATGTTTGTAATTGTTTACATGTAAAAAGTGTTTTGTATAAGATTTTTTTAAGTATTTTTATAATCTACGAGGCGCGTCCACAAAGTAAGTTTCCCACTCGTCCCACAGCTAGCAAACCTTATATTGCGCGAAGCGACGGTGCGTACGTGATAGAGCAATGACGTAGCATGGCGCATGCACTAACGGTACTTCCCGCCTTCTCACAGTAGCATCGTTGCAGCTGTTGAAGATGGAGGTTCTTATTCCAGCTCCCGCCGACTGTGAAGTGCGGTCAGTGATAACGCTAGGCCGCACACGGTTCGACGGACAGCAAGTCTCCTGCAAGGTGTTTGATCATTCACCCTACAGCCCGGACCTCGCTCCCAGTCATTTCCATCTTTTCCTACACCTCAAGAAATTCCTGTCTGGTCAGCGTCAGCGTTTTGAGAATGACAGAGAGGCGGAGATGGTTGTCACACAGTGGTTCCAATCCCAGGCGGCAGACTTCTACGACACAGGTATTCAAAAGTTGGTCCCACGGTATGACAAATGTCTCAATTCCGGTGGCGAATATGTTGAAAAATAGCTGGACACTTGCTGTATCTGTTGCAATAAATATTTCCATGAAATTGTGTTTTATTTGTGTAAACGGCCCCAGGGAAACTTACTTTGTGGACGAGCCTCGTATCTTCATAAAAAATTCCACTTTCATACCTAAAATGGTTTATCATGTATCACCTTCATACTGAATGCTAATTATAAATTTCAAATAGTTGCCATGTTGTACATTAAAAACTTTAAATATGTCTTAAAACTTGCATAGTTCTCAAAGATTTTCTTCTGTGCCATATACGAGGTGCGATCGGAAAGTTTCAAGACTGTGTCAATAGAGGGCGAACCGGATGTAGTACGAGCTTCTGCCGCTAGGGGGTGCGGCCTACATTCA